CTATCAGTGCACCTCTACTTTTTTCTCATTCATTCCACATACCCCCTATGAACTTTTTAAGTACCCCTACGGGTACACATACCCCCGGTTGAAAACCACTCTGCTAGATATTCAAATGAGGGCACTACATCTGACAGGTAATCAATCAGTTGCTTATTATCTGCAATTGGTTCTTGTACAAGTATTTTAAAGTGCTTTACTTCAAGAGACTGGCTCCATCTAATCTCTCCTTGACACAAAAAGAACTGGACTATTACTCCATTAAAACCAAGGATAAAAACATGATAAGTGTTTAATCTCACTTACCAGATCAGGATGTTGCTGCTGTAGTCTCTGCATTTCAAGACAATAGAATCATAGAAAAGTAGGGCTAGAAAGCAATGTTGGAAATCATCTGCTGCTGGTTCTTCTGTGTTTTAATCATCATCATCCTCATTTTCCTGGTCATCTTTCCCCTGGAGATGCAGGTGATCTTTCTCTAATACCCACTCAAACTATCCCGGGTTGGGATAAAGAGCTATTAGTGGCACTGGTACTATGTAGGAATGGGATGCAGGTGAGTATGCAGGAGTCTATGAAATTCCCACAGGTGGAGGAACTCTAACTTAAAGGCAGTTACTATCTAGTTAGCTACTGTGTGGCTTCTGTGAAATGAACTTGTCAATTTAGTGCAGTTTGTAAAGGGCAGGGACTCCATATAATTTGAAATTTGTCAAAGGCTAAATGAAATCAAGGCACATCAGAAGGGTAGCATAAGAAAAAAGCTTCACTGCTCACTGTGTACTTGTTCTCAGCATTACTCTCCAGGCCTGGTAATCCATCTCATTTCCCAAGTAATGAATTCACTTAAAGCACAGATAACCTTGAAAACATGAGCCAACTTTAACCAAGAGTTTCAGGGATCTTAATTGCTGTGGGAAGTGTGAATTCCAACATTTATCCTGGGCTGGTAATGCCCAATGCCAACATTTCATAGTAATCTAAATGCCAACATTTCAAACTACTGCACTACTGACTGAGGAATATAAAAAAAAAAAAAATGACCATGCTAAATCTCCAAATTTCCTGTGAGTGAAGTTGCAGTTTAATACCATGAGATCATAGTCTCTGGCAGAGTACCACAATCCCTTCTTTACCTAATCTGCTTTATAGATCCCACAAGCTAAAGGGAAAGAGGAAAAGCTAAGGAGCAACAAATGTAGACTCTAGTAGGCCCTTGGCTGGTTAACAGTAAGGGAGCATAGAATTTGCTTATCTAGAGTTTGGATAAAAGAGGCAAAGGAATTGAGCAGGTGACAGAATGCCATAAATGAGAAGAGTTTAGCAGATGCAAGAAAGACAGGTCAAAAGAAGTGGGCTAAAAGTCACTTGCAGTTGCAGTAGGTTTTTTTTTATACTAGATAGAACCAAACCACTGTTTGTTTTTTCCAAGTCCCAGTTTCACTCCTACCTAGCCAGGCATCCCACCCAATGCCAGCTGCCTCCATTCCAATCCAATCTATGTCTTGCATCATCAGATGTGTAAAGCAAAGGCCAGCTTTTACCAACCAGTCCTTCCTCGAGTTAATTCTGTCTACACTGCTTCCAGGCTGAGCCTGATAACCCCGCAAAGCACAGCCTTGCCCACTCACTCCTACTCAGAGTATGTCAACTCCCAAAAATAAATCAGTCAGGAGCGCATGTTAAATGCATGCGTAGAACCACTCCATTGCCTTGTTTCCAAGATTAAATGTTTGTGAAAGAAAGCAAGGCAGCAGTACTCCTCCTAGGCTCAAACCAGAGGTAGCGTGGACATGTCTAAGCAGGACTATCTTCACTGTGATTCAGAATTGAGTAAAGAATGTAAAGATAGGCATAGGAGTTGCTTAATGCACTGGAAGGCAAAAAGATAGGAAGGTAGAGGGAAAGCAGGTTTATTTCAGAGCAGACAAAATTCAGCAGCAAAACCAGCTGTATCAGAGTTCTGGATATATCTATTTGGAAATTAGAAGTGAGGTTGCAGCACAGGCAGAGGCATTTGAGCTAGCTCTACTCAAACAGGACTCTGGATTGTAGGCTTGTACAATCTCTGCTACGTATCACTGCTCAGTACCCCAAAAAGCTGCTTCTGGTATGCTTCCACAAGATGTAGTCACATATGACTGCAGGATAGACATACCATATGTCATGAAAAAACATGCATTTTTCCTCCATTCCTTTCTTTTGTCAGAGCAGTACTGATGCTTTTTGTAAATGCAGGTCAGGACAAGGAGAATTAAAAAAAGACCCCCCCCCCC